GTACTTGGGCCATCTTCTGCTACTTTGCCAAAAAGAACTGGAGCAGAAGTGAAACAGCCTGGACTTGAAGGGGTGCCCATTGGGATACTAGCATCATAGGCAGTGGCTTAACCCACTGTGCCAGCTGCTGCTGTGGCGGTCTGGTCTACATCCATAGCCATGCCACACCAGGGCCCACTGCACCTGGCACAGGTCTTTCACACTCCTGCTGGAAGGCAGCCACAGCCCTGGGCCATGAGAGCCTCATCAAGGCTCGGATGTGAGCCCTGAACGTGGGAAAGCTGTGCAATGCAAACTACTGAAATCTGTTGTGGTCCTAGGCCCAGGTGGCCTGTCAGGCTGGACACGCATGCCTGAGGGAAGAGTGGTTGCCATGTGGCTCAGAGCAACACCACCACGTGCTGGGAGCCAGTTACCAGAGGTGTGTGGGGGAGGAGTCCAACATCAAAGACAGAACGGGCTAAACCCTGTCGGTCACTGACCCCTGTCACTGTGAACCCAAAAACATCTAGCAGATCGGTGCCTCATGGGTTGCTGGAAATTCTGCCCATAAACCTGTGAGAACCAAGATTTTCCTTTATAATAAACAATGATTATGGGATTTTAAGGTTAAAAAAGGTAACTATTAACTATATCTGTACCAATTTCCAAATGCTAATCACTCACTTTAAAATATATATATATATATCTTATTTATTTTTATTGGAAAGGTTGCTTTACAGAGAGGAAAGACAGAGAAAGATCTTCTACCTGCTGGTTCACTCCCCAAACGACCACAATAGCCAGAGTTGAGCTAATCCGAAGCCAGGAGCCAGGAGCTTCTTCCAGGTCTCCCTCACGGGTGCAGGGTCCAAGGCTTTTGGGGTGTTCTCTACAGCTTTCCCAGGCTACAAGCAGGGAGCTGGATGGGAAGTGGAGCAGCCAAGACATGAGCCAACGCCCATATGGGATCTGGGCGGTTTCAGGGTTGACAGCCAACTGAGCCATTGTGCCAGGTCCTACTCACCTATATTTTAAGAGACCTTTTGCCCTAATTTCAGATAATATTTTCTAATTTAATTTTAAAAGTGATGTATTTGTTTGAAAGGCAGAATGACAGAGTGGTAGATAGACACTGAGAGCAATAGAGAGAGAGAGGTTTTCCATTGGCTGCTGCACGCCCCAAAAGGGCTGCAACAGCCAAGTTTGGACCAAAGCAAGGAGCCAGGAATTTAGTTTCCCACATTGGTAGGAGGGGCCAAGGATTTGAGTCATCTTCTACTACCTTCCTACATGCATTAGCAAGGAACTGGGACAGAAGCAGAGAAACTGGAACTCTGCCAGGGGGGATTCAAATTGGCATCACAAGCAGCAGCTGAACCCACAGCACCACAAGCTGACCCCCATTTTATTCTACTTTCTTTTTGAGATATGTAAGTATTATCCTTCATGATATGTCTTAAGTAAGGATAAAGGTGAACGGGGTTATTTGGAAGTCCACTTCTGGGGCAGGCGTTTAGACTAGCAGCCAAGATGCAGGTTTAGATTCTTGTGTCTCCAGAGGCAAGCATTTGGTACCGTAACAACAGCCCTGCTTGGCACACCTGCAGCCTGGATTGGAGCAGGTGATTCGAGTCCTGGTTGCTTTGCTCTCCATCCTGCTTCCTGTTCCCTTCTAAGAGGGCATCCTGGAGGGTAGTAGCAGATGGCTCACGTCTGTGGGTCCCTGTTGTGCCCATGGGAGATACAGATGGAGTTTGGGGCTCCTAGCTTGGGCCTGGCCCAGCCCCAGTTCTTGCATATATCTGGGGAGTGAACCAACACATAGAAGATTTTCTCTCTGCCTTTCAAATAAAATACATTTTGGAAAAAATGAAAACATTTGTATCTAATGTAAGAGATGGCTCTGGACTGAGTGTTAGAGCAAACCAATGGATAGAACATTTGTCTTTCTGTCATCCTGCCTTTCAAATAAATAAAAAATTAATTTTTTTAATAAAAGAAAGGGGACTTAGGGCTAGATGAAAGGATCCACACACTTCCCCTGAAAGGAGAGTCCTAGAGTCTGCTTGTTGGAAACAAAGTCATCTGGGAAAACTCTAATGATCTTACATGTGGGAAAAATGAGACCCACAGATAATAAAGTGATATGTCCCAGATATCTACTCAGAACCCTAAAATTTCATGTTCAAATTATGCAGAAAGAAGTCAAGTAGTAAATAAAGCAAAACAAAATTATTTTAAAAAACTAAAAAAAAAAGTCACAGAGGTTTCTGCCCCTTCCATCGGAGTCTCTAGGGCGCCATCGTGTGGCACTGATGTGACCTGACCCCAAGCAGCTCACTTTCTTTGTACCCACCCCTCCCCCACGACAAAAGAGAGAAAATGGAAACTTTTATTTTCCATTTCCTTCTCCCCCATCTGATTCCATCCTCATCAGAGGTGAGGTGGTCTGCAATCCCCTCACCTTTGTAATATTAAAGTGGCAATTCCTTAACTGGGGGCCACGCCTGTGCCCCTGCTGCACCCTACGGAGCTGCATCTTCTGCCTGATCTTGAAGCAGTGCAAAGACGAGAAGAAAAGCTAAAATGAGGGAGCAGAGCCACACGCCTTCCCAGACAGTCGTTGCGCCACAGGCTGTCCCAGCTTTACCCTCCAGCTTTCGCATCCCTGAGAGTCTCCCTAAATCTTCCTCCACCTCCTTTGCTTCATGCTAGGCTTGGGGGAGTTGTCTGAAAAGGATTTTATCCTTAGGCCTAGTGCAGTAGCCTAGTGGCTGAAAGTTCTCGCCTTGCATCTGCCAGAATCTCATATGGGTGCCGGTTCTAATCCTGGAGGCCCCACTTTCCATCCAGCTCCCTGCTTCTGGCCTGGGAAGGCATTGCGGACAGCCCAAAGCCTTGGGACCCTGCTCCCACGTGGGAGACCCAGAAGAGGCTCCTGGCTTCGTATCAGCTCAGCTCCAGCTGTTGCAGCCAATTTTGGAGTGAATCAGTAGATGGAAACTCTTCCTCTCTGTATCTCCTTCTCTCTGCAAAATCTGACTTTACAATAAAAGTAAATAAATCATTAAAAAAAAATTTTAAAAAGAAGAAAAGGATTTTATCTTAATATCCAGCCTAACACCATCGGGAGGTAGATAGCCACTCAAGGTCCCTCATGAAAGAAAGAAATAGTTACAAGAATCAGTTGGCTTTGAGAGCCTTGATTTGAGGGATCAATTAATAACCGTTGTATTCTTCCAGTAAAGCCTTCTTGAAGCTGACACATTTAGAGAGAACAGGGGTAGCAGACAACCGTCTCTACTTCTGTGCGGACTCCATTCAAGCCCCCTCACTTGTCCTGCTTGCCCACTTGGCCTTGTGCCTGGAATCTTTAACCCCTCCTCCGCGTCGTTTCATGGCAGTCTCAGGTTCCGATGAGATAGCCCCGCAGGGACCACTCTGTCATGTACTGCCGCACGAACTTGGACGCTGAAGTAACTCAACTTCTTTCACCCATGTCACACAGGGTTGAGCAGAAACAGAAGCCAAGTCCAGGATCCTTTAGGACCCCACGTGGGCCACTTCATGAGAGCAACTCAGCCCTTCAACCTCCCCCGTCCCTAAGAAGTCTTCAGAGGCCTGCAGCGGGAAAGTCTGGGCAACTGGGGAAAGGCACTGAACTCAGCAAAGTCCATGTGACACAGAGCCAGCAGAGCCCCACTGTCTGGAAGCTGCCATCTGCACCCAGATTTGCACCAGGACTGTTTCCCAACTTCGTTCCCCAGCACAGACACGGGCAGCCACCGGCTACTGCCTCCCTTGCTGCTCCTTGGGGATGGAGCCCTTTTTCTTCCCAGGGAGTCTCCTCAGACATCCTCCATTCCATCCAGCGTTCTCCGAGGGCTCTCATTACCCCATTAAGGGCGACCAGAGAGGGGAAGAAGCGCCGCTTCTCGAGGTGTGCACGAACAGGAAATGGGAATGGAGAGTGGAGCCAGGACTCCACCCAGGGATTCCAGCGAAGGATGCAGGTCTCTCAAACGCCTGTCTCTGATTTTAGGTGGGAAAAACGGAGCTCAGGGACTCACCCAGGGACTACAATCCAGTAGCTGCAGGCTACTGAAGCATTTTTTTTCCTGTCACCATGATCATCACATTTTTCTGACTCCTTTGTCAGGCTCAGGAACCTGTCAAGTCTCAAACAGAACTCCTGGCCCCTCCTAACTCCCAGAGTCTCCCTGCTTTCTTGCAAAGATGTTTTCATGTTCTCTCCTCCCGGGAGCCTGTCAGGACCAGCACTTTAGCAGGTTGATCTTCCCTCCCCCAGTCTGGATATAGATTCCATCCAACCAGCACCCCCAGAATGAGGACCAGCCCCCACCTGCCGGCATGGAAGGAGAGAGTGGGGCTGTGTCCTCTATCAAGCAGGGCCTCCCAACCATGAGAGCCAAACTCCTCCTCCAAACTATAGGGATTCTAACTTTGCATCAAAGTAAAAAACTGAGGTCCTCTGCCAATGGGCTAGAGCAGCCTGAGTCCCTCACCAAACAGGTCTGAGGGGCAGGATTTGATTTCCCCATCAAACCTGCAGCAAGCGCCGCCCTCCCCAACACACACCACTGTTTAAGATCCAACACACACACAGGCAAGGTGATCCAACACAAAAGTTTATTGTCAGTTACTCAAAGATCTGGCCCCTCTCGCCTCGCATTTCTCTTCTTGGTCCTTGAGGCCCACCCAGGCCCTCCCAGTCGTGGGCCAGAGCAGGGGCCCAGGAACATCTCATCCGTAGGCTGACTCCTGTCCACCTGGGCCGGCACTCCGCTTCTGTGCCTGTCCTGGAGCTAGGGGCCCCACACTCACCCAGGATCCTTCTCCATCCTGGCTTCTCTGGACCTGGGGCCCACAAGCATAGGCCCTAGCTTCTCCCCAGCTGTGAAGGCAAGGCTGTGCCAAATCTGGCTTATGGAAGCCACAGGAGGCCGCGAGCAGCCAGATGTGTATCAATGCAGGTTCTTGAGTCCCATTTTATTCTTTTAGCGGCTGCTCTTGTGTTTGTTCAGCAAATTTGTGGCCGATTCATGGACCTGCAGACAAAGTGGGCTTCCTTTCAATCCCCTTGCCTTGATGTGACACACTCTCCTTGTTCCTCTCACTGCACAGATCTAACTCCAGTGTAGTACCCACTCAGGGTGGGAGCTCTGGAGGCAGACACCCCCCTGGTTAGAGGGGGGCAGAGCCCGAAAGCAGAGTCGGGACCTCTCTGAGAAGGAAAGGGTGGCGTCTAGACTGACTGCCCAACTCAGGTGACAGGAGGCTGGCCAGATCTGCAGAAGCCTTGAAGCTGGGCAGGGGTGGAACGGCAGGGCGATTACTGATTGGGCAGAAAGGGGATGGCATACCCTTTCTCGGTTTACCAGCGCTGTAATCAAGTCTTGTTCTTGGGCCACCTCGCGGATGTCCACCGAGGAGCCAGTCTCGAAATCTTGGCTCCTGGACAGGTGCCGGTGTAACAGCTCCTCTTCTTGCTCCTGATTGAAGCGAATGGAGCGCACCTCCTCCACGATCCTGGGGGCGCAGCGGGAGTGCGTCTCTCCCACCTCTTCCCCTGGCGCCTGGCGCCCCCCACCTCCACCTCCACCTCCGAAGACCTGACCCTTCAGTGAAGTGGGAGGAAGTCAGAGGGTCAGGATTGTGGCTCAATTACCCCACAGGGATTCAGGGACACCCCTCTCCCAGGAGACACTCCCCGCCCTCCGCCCCGCCCCGTACGCATTGAGCTCATCGCGGATGCCCTTGTATTGCAGCAAGTTCTCCTGGATCGCCTCGAGCACCAAGCAGAAGTTGTCGCACGTGTTTTCCGAGAGATTTGGCAGGGGGCCCCCCACCAGCGGCTCCTGGAGGTGGCCAGTGGTCTCCTGGCGGGCGACGGTACAGTGCACCAGCGGCAGCTCCTTATTCTGGTCATCGTCGTAGTCACCTGGCTAGAATCGAGGAGTGACAGGGGACACACACTCAGGTCGCCCTCCTGCTCGGTGTCCAGGGAGCACCGTTCTTCTGCCCCGTTTGCCCCTCGCACCAATCTGAGTCCCCCCATCCCACCCCAGGGAAATTCACAGCTGTGCTCCATGGTCCTCCGCACCCCTTCTGGCCCCAATTGTACTTCTGGTACATCTTTGTAGGGCAACTTGTAATGGCCAGTCTACTCCCAGGTCACACGCTGGCCCTAGGCTCATCCCCTCCCAGACCTGTGGGAGTGCTGCCGCTGGATGGGTACAGCTGCAACGTTCTCTCCCAGTGTGCTTGGCACTGCCCATGGGCCGGCAGACTCCTCCCAGTGGGCCTGTGAGGTGAGCACTTTTACTCTTGCCATTGCATGGAAGTGAAATTGAAGACTGAAATTCTCCATCTGGGTGCTGCCTCCCACCCACCCCGCACAGTCCCTTCTCCTTCCTGCCCACCTACCCCCTCCCACGCACCTCACTAAAGGCTATTGGATGCTGTTGTCCCTGATCTCCTGCCTTCATCATTTGCTCCAGATTGGTGGTTACCACGACGACGAACAGGTTGATGCCAATGAAGGCACCCATGGTGAGGAAGATGGCAAAGTAGATGGCGCCCCCAATCTCCATTGCATACTCCCTCTTCTCCATCCTGTGGAGGGCAGGCAGAGGCCCGTCACCTCCCTCCCTCCTTTTTGTTTTTGTTTTAAAAATTTATTTATTTTTATTTACAGAGAGACAGAAAGATCTTCTATCCTCTGATTCACTCCCCAAAAGGCTGCAATGGCTAGAGCTGAGTTGATCTGAAGCCAGGAGCCAGGGGCTTCTTCCGGATCTCCCATGTAAGTTCAGGGTCCTAATACTTTGGGCCATCCTCTGCTACTTTCCCAGGCCACAAGCAGAAAGCTAGATGAGAAGTGGAGCTTCCAGAACACAAACTGGCATCCATATGGGGTGCCAGTGCTTGCTGATGGAGGATTAGCCAGTTGAGCCATCATGCCAGCCCCCCTTCTTTCCCTCTTCTGCCTCCACGTCCTCATCTGTGAGATAGGGGAATGATCCCAAGGCCAGCTGGGAACTCCGCCCTACTGCCCTGCTGTGGTACGGGGTCCAATTCCTTCTTTCTAACTGCAACAGCAGCTGCTGTCCACTGGGCACCCACTGTGGTGCCAGAGTGGCTGCTTCTCAAGCCAACTCTGTAAGGCGGGGAGTTGTGCATCTGCATTGTCCAGTTTAATCTACTCACTGTACTCCCTAGTCATTTTTTTTTCTGATTATGAAATTTATTCAAGGCCTATTATAGAAAGAGTAGCAAAAAGCTGTAAGGCCAAATCCCACCTGCTAGAATTTTTTCATTGTCAGGCTCTTGTTGTAAATGTCCCATGAAATATTTGGCCCCGTAAGATTATCTCCCTCCATATAGATGTATTACAAGCAGAGGTTTATATAAGTTTTTGCCACTGGACAGGTGCCGGTGTAACAGCTCCTCTTCTTGCTCCTGATTGAAGTGAATGGAGCACACCTCCTCCATGATCCTGGGACGCAGCGGGAGTGCGTCTCTCCCACCTCTTCCCAGGCGCCTGGCGCCCCCCACCTCCACCTCCGAAGACCTGACCCTTCAGTGAGGGTCCCTGAGCAGGGGACTTAGTTAATGAAGTGTTGGAATAAAAGAGGACACCAAGACTCAGCAGAGAACACAACTTGCCCAAGGTCATCTGATTAGCATGTTAGATCAAGAATTCAAAACATCAGTCGTCCCAGGAGTCCCATGGGGGCCTGGAGGCTGTAGTGTAACCTTGGACGTGCCCACACACCTGCTCCTCCCCCGCCCAAGGCCTGACTGCTCACCCTTGGCAGGGTTGGCTGTGACAGGGCTTTGGAGACTTCAAGACCAGAGGCCCTAGCCCCAGGGGGTTTGCTTTCTCACTTTAAAGGCCTGGGCAATCCCCACCTCATAGGCTGCTCTCAACCCCTGGCGCATGACGCTTGTGGAGAGCCTTCCCCTCAGCAGTTTGGCCCACCCCCACCCCTTCTCCTCCTTGGCTCCTTGAGCACACTTACTGAAAGTCACTATAGATGTCCAGCCATCCATCCTGGGTGATGCAGATGAAGAGGGTGTACAAGGCAACCTGCATGTTCTGAAAATGCTTGGGCACGAATGCACCAAAGAGCGTGACACCAAACACTGAGAACACCTGCCAGAGAGACCATAGCGGTGCCCTGACCGCACTCCAGGGCCTTGGAGATGTGACATGCAAATGTCAGGCAAATGAGAACTGCCAAGGGATTACCCCCTACGGGCCCCCCTCCACGCCCAGGGACCCAGGCACCCTGCTCAGGGAGGAGGAATGGCTAGGGTGGGCAAGGGCACTGACCAGCATAAAGAAGAGGATGAGGGCCATGATGTTTGCCATGCCAGGCACTGACTGCAGGATGACACGGATGATCCGGGCCAGGGACTCCACCGACATACATACATGTAGCAGACGGAGCGCCCTGTGGCAGAGCCTCTCAGGGGGGACCCTTGAGCCCTTCCAGGACCCCAACCTCCTCACTGCTCTGTCAACTGCCCAGACAAGCAGAGCTGACCCCCAGCTGGCCATGATGGCCATGACCCCCACATCTCAATCCCAAATTCCAGGTTAGCCCCTCCCCCAACTTGTCCAGAGCTCCCAGCTCACCTGAGGGTGTAGGTGATAGCAATGGTGTTGAGTTGTTCAATGAAGAACCCCAAGAGCAAGATAAAGACGATAAGGAAGTTGAGAATGTTCCAGCCATCCTGAAGGGCGGGGGTGGAGGGCGGAGGGTGGGCCAGCCCCAGCAGGGTCTGTGAGGCCCAGCCCATGGGGACATCCTGAGTCCACCCTCCCCACATGCCAAGGATGGGGGGTTCAATGGTCCTCTCAGGGAAGGCCCCGGACACCCTGCAGACATGCCACAGAGCACACGTGCACTTCCTGACCCTTGCATAGGTCGACAGCCAAGTGCAGTCTCAGGAATCAGGCCCTAAGCTGTGGCATGCTGTGGCTGGAAAGCTGTTGAAATGGCCTGGCTTCACAATTAGGTGACCTGGCAACACCTGGGTGTTCCTGGTTTGTTTTTGTTTTTTTGGTGTGTAACATGTTCTACCATCAATAAGATGAAATTAATATTAAGCAAAATATCGAGGAGCACTGCTTCAATTGCCAGTTTGGGTACAAAGAAGACAAGCAAATCTGATAAGGCATTTGTCCACCACGGCAGACACTCATACACATATGGGAAGGGAGCTCATGCATCCCCATCTGACCACTGTGACCCAGGTATAAGACAGACACCTGGGTTAGTGGTTTGGTACAGCAGACAAGAGGTCCCCTCTGATGCCCGTGTCCCATAGCAGAGTGCCTGGTTCTAGCCTTAGCTGCTCTGTTCCTGATCTAGCTTCCTGCTGATGCTCACCATAGGAGCCCCAATACTTGGGTCCTCACCACCCATGTGGTGTTAGAGTGTTAGTACAATGTTAGAGTGTTAGAATAGTAGAATGCTAGGCCAGGCTGTCAGGCCCCTTGGTGCCAAGAAGCTGCTGCTTTGCTTAGTTAGGATAAGCCAGGGCCACTGGGAGATGCCACCCTCGTCAGGATGAGTCAGGGCTACTGACCAGTGTCACCAGCCCCATCTACAGTGACCAGTGCCGTGAGCTCTACCTATAGAATACACCCGGATAGCAGGGCATTTGTCCAGTTCCAGGAAATAGGATGAGCCATTGATACCCAGAACCCATGGCCATGATGTGTTTGAAGGGTGTTACTTTGATTGGATAATGTGTTACTCTTTCAATTGATTTGCTGCGTCTGTATTTGTGCGGGCTATGATGTATGTAATACCCAAGAGAGGCCTATAGAATCATAAGCCTTTCTCTGGTTCCATTCTGACCCCTCCTTGGCTGGCCTGCGTACCCCAAGAACGGTCTGACCCCAGCATGCTGGCACAATAAACTCTGCTTGCCTTTGCATTTCTAGCGAAATTCTTTGTTGTTTTTTGGGGGAAGGGGAGGCACAAAACCGGACCCAAACAGTGGGAGACTGCATGTGGAGTTCTAGGCTCCTGGGTTTAGCTTGGCTGAATCCTAGCTGTTGCAGACATTTGGGGAATGAACCAGTGAATAGAAGACCATTGGATATCTCTCTCTCTCTTATCTTCACATTTAAAAAAATGAAAATTTAAAACTTTTAAAGGACATCTATGTAAGGTTGAAAACCACCAGTGTATCCAGTGATTGACAGGTTGAATAAACCATGGTACATTCATTTAAGGAAATAAGCTGTGTAGCCATGAAAAACAAGAAAGATCTTATGTCCTGACATGGAAAGGGAAGCTCACTGAGACCCATTTGGTGACAAGCCAAGGGCAGCAGAAGCGTGTTTATAACGCGCTGCTGGGGGGAGAAAACTAAAAATACATCCCTGTATGTTGCTACTGATAAAAATAACTGCTGAGAGTCTGAAGAAGAGCTATAAATAGAACAAGATCACGCAGAGAGGTGTGGGGGAAAGGTGGCGAGGGGTCAGCAGGGAGAGCAGGAATTCTATATGTACTTTTCGAAATGGTTTGAAAGTATGTAAAGGGTTTTTATTAAATACTTTAAAAACAAAATGAATTTTAGTGGGAAAAAGTTCCTAAATGTATTTGGCAGCCTAATATATATATATAATATATTATATATATTATATATTGGCTCAACATATATATATATTAGTCCTCCTATATATATATAAGTCCTCCTGCCTCACACACACACAAGGAGACACAGTCTACCTGTCCACAGAACCAACCCTGAATCCTGTCAGTAGTAAGATCCTATTGTATGCGTGCCATCTGGGGGTCAGGTCCTGAGGATATGGGATCTCTTCCCTGCTAGGCCAACAGACTGTTTTGATGTAGGTGGAGAGAAAGCAAATTTTAACTGCACGTGAGAAGTGCATTTTACGTAGACACAGAGCAGCCTGTAATGAGCCTGAGAGAGATGGAAGGCTTCTTGGAGACATTTAAACATATCTGAAAGTAGGGGCTCAGCAGGTGCATGGGGGAAGTTGCAAAAAGAGTATTTTGTGACCCAGAAAATTTTTATTGAGATTCAACATTCATGAATAAACTTTTGCTGGAACACTGCCATGCTTGCTGCCTTATACTCTGGTCAGGGTTGTGTCTGGGTGCCCACACAGAGGTGTAAAGAGATACTACAGCCTGTAAAGCTGGCTTGTCCTAACACACCTGCTGACCTCTGGGACCTTGTCTTGCAACCTCACTTCTTGGATAAGGAAATCAAGTTTTGCCCAAGACTGCAGAACCAGAGGAAGCCAGAGCAACAACCAGAAACTGGGATCTAGGAGGCTGATTTCCAGTCCAGGTTACTGTGTCCTTCATTACAGATGGGGCTGGGGCAGAACCAAACAGGCAGCTGCATCCTCCGGGATGTATGTTGGCTGGTGCAGGTGACAGAATGAACCTGACCCTGCAATGGCTGGTGCACACAAGAGTCAAGTTTCTTGGGAATCCCTCCAGTTCGATTGCTGGACTCAAATCCTAACCACAAGGAAAATCAAAATATATGTGGTCCAACCTTGAAGTACATGTCAGGACTAAGCCCCCTCAGTTGCTGATGCCTGTGCAGTGGACAGCATGTCCAGACGCACACAGGGGACATGACAGCCAGCTCATCTAGGTCAGCAGAGGATGTGGACCGCCTCATCAGATGGAAAGCAGATCAGGTTGGACCATGTTTCTGGTCAAGTTTTGCAGCAAGTGTCTGGGTCTGTGGATGCACTAAGCTGGACTGGTCAGCCACTAGACCTTGCTCAATCCTGGAGCAACGAAGCCAGCAATGTCTCAGAGTTATCAAAATCACTCAAGCAACACCCTCAAACATTCTTCCCAACATCAAATGACTGTCCTCCATCCCCAAGTTGATGTAGTTTGACAACAAGGAACAGCCCCCTCTCTTTCGCCCTTAGTAGACACAGGAGAAAAAAAAATTTAAACATTTGTCCCATCTATCTTCCTTTATACCTTGACCCTCCACACCCTTACCAGAGGCACACAAGGACATACATCCCTCTCAACTAGGTAAACAACGTTAAAAAAAAACCTTAAAATAATGAAGTCTACATGTACAAGTGTACACTCACACACATGCATACGTACACAGATGCACACATTCCTTCAACTGACAGGGCCAGATGTTCAGGGATAAAGGACCAGGTGGGGGACGTTTACCCGGGAGGGCTAGGGGCCCAGAATCTCACCTTCCAAAAAATCCAGAAGCCATTGAACCAGCCAAGCAGAACCTCGCAGATGAGGATGGTCAGCACGACATCATCTATGGTAGAGAACAACTCATAGTGTGTCTACATGGAAAACAGAGAAAAAAAAGAGGGGCAGCACCGTCAGTGAGAGCCCAGGCCCGACCAGGGAGGGAGAGTGACTGAGGGCCAGCCCAGGCCCTGTATTTAGCAGGCACCATGATAAGGTGCGTCCTACCGCCTCACATACTATCTCTGCTGTCCTGCAAGCGGGCTTTTCCTCCCATCAGACAGATGAAAAATCAAGAGAGCCTACAGCCACCTAGCTTGTGGAGAAAGATCATTGCCTACACCAGGCCTGCACCCCAACCCTTAAGCATGGGGAAGGGAGTTTTCCAGGACTGAGAAGGGAAGGCCTGGTGCCTGAGGCTGATGGGTTCTCTCCTCTCACCTGTCGTCTGGTGGTCCCGAGCACTTGGCTGCTCTAGCACATTGGTGCCTGGGTCAAGGGTAACCACCCTCCTGGGCACCCTCTCACCCCATGGAGCCAAGATGTGTATGACAGATTGGCACAGGGAGCCTGTGTGCAAGACCCAACTCACTTTGTCCAACTTCAGTTTCATTCCTTCAGCTTCCTAATGGCTTGGACCCCCTGATTTCACCCTGGTGGCCACCACCCCATTTTCCATGGTCTCAAGGCTGGATGTCACTCATGGGGCCTCTTGCAGCCCATATCTGCCACCACTCCATCTACAATGATGCCAGGCTGGGTGCAGCTCCTTAAGCCCAGAAGGAAAATTAAAATTGATGAGCTCCCAGCCTGCTCTAGGCTCCCAAAGGACTGCCAAGGACTGTGAACATCTGCCTCCAACAGTGAAGAGATTCTTTCCCCGGGCCCAGTATGGTAGTTTGGTGGCTAAAGTCCTCGCCTTGTATCCACCAGGATCCCATATGGGCATGTTTCATATCCAGGCTACTCCACTTCCCTTCCAGCTCCCTGCCTGTGGCCTGGGAAAGCAGTCAATGATGGCCCAAAGACTTGGGATCCTGCAACTACATGGGAGACCATGGGGAAGCTCCTGGCTCCTAGCTTTAGATCAGCTCAGTTCCAGCCATTGTGGCTATTTGGGGAGTAAACCAGTGGATGGAAGATCTTTCTATCTCTCCTTCCCTCTGTAAATCTGACTTTCCAATATAAATAAATAAATAAATAAATCTTGAAAAGAAAAAAGTTTTTTTTTTTTTTCCTTTTATGGTTTCAGCTTCAGTGTCATTTTCCCCAGGAAGGCTCCTGCTACTAGATTCCATGGTCTTGAACTCCCACAGGTATGAGCCAGGAGCAGGGTCAGGGAAGAGTTGAACTTGTACCTGGAGTTCCTGCTGCCGTGCAATTAGTAGCTGGCACAGAATGATTCTCCTTGTAGTAATTGTTGGCTACAATTGGATACCATTTTCCTAAGGGCACCCCTCTGCCAGCTTCAGCTCATGCCCTTTTTCTCCTGTCCTCATACCCAAACCCCAGCCATTCCTATGTCAGGCTCCAAAGCCCCCTCCTCCACAAAGTCTTCCCCGATCTCCAGATCCCTAGGTCAGAGCAGAACAGACCCTTGAACAACCTCCAACCAGCCACGAGAGACAGATGAGGAACCCAGGGCCTCAAGATAAAATTACTTCACTCCAGTCACCCCTAACACCCGACCTAGGGCATCAAAGAGGGCAGAGGTGAGGCTGGCGACCTACCTGGTCGAAGTTGGAGTTGGTGCGGAGAGCAATGGTGATGCCATTGATAACCAGCAGCATGGCCAGCAGCAGCTGGAAGGCCGGGTGTCGCAGCAGCTGCTTAATGTACATGCGCGTGATGAGTTCCTGCATGTCCCAGGTGTCCTGGAAGAAGGCGAGGACCTCCATTCAGACAGGTGTCACACAGAAGGCCTCTGCCTGGACGTGTGTGCTCACTGGGGGTGGGCTGGAGGTGTAGTTCTTGGGGTTCACTCTGGAGGGAAAGGTATCTGAGAGGTGTTGGAATGGCAGCATAAGCAGTTGCTAAATGCCCTTGTGGGTCCCAGGGGTAGGATTGCTGTGCAGGTCAGTACTGGAGAGGCTCCTTTCTGGGGGGCATCCATGCTGATGAATGACCGTTGGGATACGGTGGTCCCTAAGGGATGCACTGCAGAGGAGTCATTGCAGAGTTCCCTGGGAGGCCTGCCCGGTTCGTACCGTTTTGTACATGATGTCCCAACGGTTGATGAGCACCTGGTCCTCAGGCCGGATGAAGGAATCATGCCGGGGCTTCTGCAAGAGACAGGAATTGGCCTCAGTGCAGCCACTGCCCTACCGGGCCCCACAAAGTCCCCCTGCACCCTGCCCCTACCAGAGTGTTCAAATATTTGACATTGACATTATCTGTCCATTGCAGCCAAATGGCCCTGTGGTTATCAATCGGCATGGCTCAACCGGGATTCCCTATCCTTGAGGAAGCTTCCCTCTCAGCAATCTCGCTCCCCCTTGTGGTGATATCACAGCAGTCTCTGTGACCTCCAGCCTTCCACATTCTACCAAGAACTCCAAGGTTGCAGGCAGCTCCTCCCGTTGCCTGCTGCCCCCTCCTATTGCCCAGAAGGAGCCAGGGATGCCACGGGCTGAGGGACTGGACTCAGAGGTCAGAGGCCCGCAGAGCCAGGGAGGGGTCACTTGTGGATGAAGTCGTAGGGGAATGTCCCCATCACTGAATTGGGGTGGAGGGGAGGCCACACTGGGGCTGTGTGCCTTGCCCCAAAGGCAGGTCTCTTTCCCACTCTGCCTCCTGAGCAAGGTTTGCTATCCACAAGGTGGAAGTTTCTATCCTCAGGCATGTGTTGACAGCACCCCTGGCCTTAGAAGGTGTGGGGAGGGAAAGCCACAGAGTTGGGAGGGCCCCACTGGGTCAAGTCTGGGTTGGAGTCCATCATTCAGGGCCTCCGGTGCACAGTGAAGGTCAAGGGCACCATGCAGGAACTGTCCCCTGCCCCATGGCCAATAGCATTCACCCATGACAGCTTTTACTTCAGCTCTGACCCCACTTTGCCCTGCACCGAGGCCAGATCCCAGTTCTAACATAGAAACAAAGGCAGGCACACACAGATTGTCTCATAAGGAGCTGGCTTTATTTTGGGTTGAAATGTATGTCTCATGAAATAAAGAACACCCCAGCAGACCTGGCTCAAGGTAAGGAGGGCTGCTGAGGGGCTGGTCGGTGCATGAGTCTCTCTTCTGGCATGAGGCTCCCTCCAGGGGACACAGGCAAAAATGGAGGGAATTCCATCAATGAACTGGCATTGCCCCCTTGAACTGGGAACAGAACCCAGGGATGCGCTGGTCTAGACAGTCGGAGGCTGGGATTAAGGCAGCAGGTAAGACCAGGAACTAAGATAGGGGCCTCAGTCAGAAGTCAGGAGGTTGGAGGGTGCTTTCTGGGGTCAAGGGGCAGAAGTGGGCATGTTCCTGAGGGTCAGAGGGCAGGGGCCTAGAGACTGGCACCACGCCTTGGATCCCCAAGCTCTCAGAGTACAGCTCCTGGTTCCGCTCCTTCCACCGGCGGAACTTCTCGCTGGTCAGCTTGGGGTCGCCCAGCACTTCCTCCAGCGCCTGCAGCTCCTGTAGTTTTGCCTGTGATGGGAACAGGGGGTAAGGGGCCTTGACCTTCCAGGGAGTGGGGCGGGGGCCAGGCCCAGGGCAGATGCTGCAGTGTGGGGTCTGGAAGCTGGTCGTCCCGGCATGAGGAGCTCGAGAGAGACTTGGGATCCCCTTAGAACCCACAGCTGAGCCCAGAGTGGAGCACAGAACCCATGTCAGCAAGCCAGAGTCTGAGAGTCCCGGGCCTTGTCCCCTCTGCATCGCCCCCCATCCCCAGCTAACCTTGAGTGTGCTCTGCAGCGCTCGCACACGGTGCACTCGCTCGTTGAGCTGGGGGTCCCGATTGCGCCGCATGAAAGAGCTTCGCCACTGCTCATGGGTCAGGGGCTGTGGCTGGCCCAGGAGGGACACGCCGCCCTGCCTCAGTCCCCGTACCATGCCTTCTAGTGCCCCATCACTGCTGTCTGTGGGAAGAGTACAAGCTGAGCAAGTGCCCGCCCCACCACTTAGTTCCAGCTGAACATCCAGTGAAACCACAGCACCTGCTAGGGGGCCAAGGGAGTTCCGTGGGCTGTGATGGTTTGGGGTGGCCGCAGGCGATGTGTCTCGCTGCAGGGGATTCCAGGTCTGTGCAGGGCTGGGCTGCAGGCAGGCAGGGGGTAGTGGAGGAGGGAGTCAGTCCACTTTTATGCCCTGCTGTTTGCACCCCCAGCCCCAGCCAGCAGGTCCCACTCACCGAAGCTGAACGGGACCCAGCCTCATCATCAGGATCCTCAGCTTCTGTCTCACTGTAGCAGTCTGTAGGATGGATGGGGACCCACTGGGTTTGGGGAGGTATAGGGTGGGCCAGCCTCCATCTTGGGGCAGGCAGGGGCTCAGGGCAGAGCTAGGTACCTCCCCTGCCCGGCAGTGAGACACCCACCTTCTTCTCGGGCTGGCGGGGGCCGCCCTGGAGCCTGGTACTTGGAAATGCACGTGATGAGTTGGCGAACCCACCTTGGGAGGGGAAAGGGGAGCAAGTGGCTCTCAGGGAGTCTCTGCCATGGAGGTCCTGCTGTGCACTGCCCCACCCCCACCCACAGCAGCCCTGGGAGGAAGGGACTCTCAGCCCATTTCACAGTGATGAAACTGCAGCTTAGGGACATGAGCATCTGGACCAATCTTTCCTTACCTGCGGGGTGTTTGGGAAGGGAGAGTCCTCACAGGGGCTGGTGGTACCAATACAGTGTGCACAAACATTCCCAGCTTTGGGGCCAAGAGGGCACGAAGCAAGCAGGGAGGGTGGTACTCACATGCTTAGGTCTGAGAGGGTGTCAGCAGCAAAGATGAAAGGTTTGTACACGTCGTGGGTGAGCTGGAACACACTGCCAGGAGCAGAGGGGTCCCATAAGTCCCCCACCCCCGGACATACTCACCAGAGTCCAGAATGGCTGGCTGGGGACAAGTGATCCCAGCTACTGCCCCGTCCCACCCCATGCCATCACCTGCCTGCTGCCTCTCCCCAGTTCCCAGGCCATCACAGCCCACAACTTAACTATTTTTTCTTCTGATCATGTCCACTTTCCAGACTGTAGTTGGAAACATTGATGAGGCCCTCGGCCTTTTCATCCTGAGGGGACAAGGATGAGAGGGACATCATGGTGCTGGGCAGAGAGCCTTTCCAACCACAAAACCCTGGTTGGGGGGAGAGGGGAGCTGTGGCCCCAGCGTTTGTCTGAGGCAGGAAAGGGGAAGCAGCAGCAGTCAGAGCAGAGTGGGCTCACGCACCGTACCCCAGCAGACTCCCACAGGGCCACCCCTCCCACTGCACTCTGTGAGCGCCATGTCTTTGCCCTGTGGTCTTTTCCCTTTTCATCAGAACAAGCCCCAGAACTGCTGTCCCAGGAAGCTTCCAGACTCCACAGAAGGGACACCTTTCCTGGCCTGCACATGTTGCCTGGGATTTCCTTCATCTGACACACCTCCTCACATTGTCCTTGTGTGTTTACCACTCCTCTCAGCCCCGCCCCATCAGCCTCTCTCAGTTCTGAAGTGGTGGAAGCGGTCCAATTCTCCCCAGGCCTAGCCCGTAGCTGGACACACGGTAAGCACCTGAATGTTTGTTGAGTGAATAAATGAGCAAATGAATGGCCTATCACAAGGATGAACACAATAGCAGAAGAGGACCCAGAGCTAGGTAGAATAAAGTGGCTTTCTCAGGGCCGGCATTGTGGGTGCTATAGCACAAGCATCCCATATGGGCGCTGGTTCTAGCCCTGGTTGCTGCACTTTTAATCCAGTTCTCTGCTGATGGGCCTGAGAAAGCAGCAGAAGATGGCTCAAGTCCTTGGGTCCCTGAAACCTGGAAGAAGCTCTTAGCTCCTGGTTTCAAATTGGTCCAGCTCTGGCTATGGTGACCATTTGGGGGGGTGAGCCAGTGGATGAAAGACCCCTCACACCTTTCAAAAAAAAAAAAATCAACCTTTTCTTTTTTTGTGAGTGATTTTCCCTACACTTCCTGTGATGCTTTTTCCTAAACTGCTTCTACACACACATGAACTCGTTTCCCTTCATAGTATGCCTATTCCACAGCTGGGAACACTGGGGCCCGGGGAGAGGAGCAGAGGGTAGAACCAAGAATCAAGGCCCTTGCTTAGCTTGAGTGGTGGTGGTGGTGTGTAAGGAAGGGGTTCTCACCTGAGGTTGGCGATACCAGTAGAGTGTGTGTCCCTTGAGCACAAACCAGCAGCGGCGCCAGCGTGGACCCATGAAGCCACTAGGGGCCTTGCGCAGCAGAAGCCACCCATCGCAGTCGGGCCGGCCCAGCTCCCGGCAGGACACCCGTCGGCGGCTCAGCCTGGTCGCCACACCTGCAGCAGCACAGCACCGCCAGGCTGGTGAGGGGCTGGCAAGACGCTGCGGCCCTCCACAAGCAGCCCCAGGGGGTATACTCTGGAACCCACAGTCTGGGCTGAAAACGCTAACTCTCCCAGTGGGGGTGGGGATGGGGGTGGGAGGGTGCTAAGAGGGGAGGGAGGATAGGCAGTTGCCTCAAGGTCATGGAGCTTGGGGGTGCCAGGTGGGGGAATGGCTGAGAACATAGGTGTTGTGTGTGACCCCCAGACCCAGAGCTGATTTCGGGAGAGGCTGAGAGAAGGGCAGGGATCATGTTGGGGGCACTCATACCTTTGGATTTCTTCCTTCTAAGGCCAGGACTCTGAAAGAACAAGGTGAAAAGTTGCAGAAGGATTTGTTCAGCATCCCACACCCCTCCCTGCTGACCCCCTGTGCTCACCTTGTCAGGGTCTCCTGGAGGATCCTGAGCCTCTGCTGCCCCTGCTGGGACTGTGGCTGGGGGTGCAACAGGGCTGGGCGGGGGGTCAGGGTCAAGGAGCATGGAATCTGTCAGGGAGGTAGGAAACAGGGAGAAAGGTCATGAGACTGGTCCCAGGCCTGGGGAGTCTCGGGGAAGGGGTTGAGTCAGCATTAAGGGGCCTGGGCTCCAGACATTCCCCCCACCTGGTGGGGCTTTGAAACTACCTGTGCCGGTAGGGGTGGACTTGGGAGTCGGGTTCAAAGTCAGGTCAAAGGCAAAGACGTCTTTGGATGGGGTCCTGGGACAGCAAGGGGAGATGAGGTAGTTCCAGCACCCCCCATCAAGTCACACCCAGGGCAGACCTGTTTACCTGGGAGACAATGGGGCCAGGGCTGGTGACTGGCGTCCCAGGTGTGGTGAGTCCAGGGCCTGAGGGGATGTCTAGGGAACATTCAGAAGCAGGTGATACAGGTGATGATGGGAGTGGGGAGGGAGCTGAGAGCAGGCAAGGCGGGGGCAGGAGTGTGGGGAGAGTAGGTACCTGTGGGGACGTTTCAGGCACTGGAATCTTCTTTAGCACCAAGCTGACCCTGCCTGGCTGCCGCAGCAGCTCCTTCATCACATTCTGGTGGGACCAGGCCACCTGGGCACAGGGGCGGGGCCAGGGCTATCATCAAGCCGGCAGGAAACTAAAGCAAACCAGCGCACCTGCTCTCCCTGCCCTCAAATCCTGGCTCTGACCTCCTGGGCTCCCCGACCCCACCAGCCCTCTGTTCCGCCTCCCCATCATGTCATCGCAGTCCTCACTCACCACCACCTGCTGGTTGATCTGGACAATCTCATCCCCAGGCAAGATCTGCTGCTGGGGGTCAGCAGGGACCTGGTTTGGGGGGTGGGCAGGCAGGTGGGAAGGGGCCCAGAAAGGGAGCTTCCTACAGCATGCAGCTGGTAGGAGGGTCTCGGGCAGCTGCAGCTCTCACCTGGGCACCCACTCGGGACACAAAGTGCAGGCAGTTACTGGTGCTGTGGATTTCTAGGTCCTGCAGTGGCAGAGGTGACAGTCGCTGGGGACCTGGGGCAGAACATGCAGGGGACACCAGGACCCCAACCTGGGCAGAACTGGAGACAGATCTGGCACTCCTCACCGCCCCCCCCCCACACCTCCAGCTCATCGAGGGCCTCTGGGCTTCTGCCAGGACCCCTCACCAGCCCTGAGAGGAGGCAGAGTGAAGCTGTGTGACAGGTCCAGGTCCCAGACTCTCAGTGACTTTTAAAGGGACCAGTTGGGGAGGACTCTGGTTTTTCCCATGTGGCCAAAGAGACAGGCAGAGTTCATGGCCCTGCCCTCTCTCCTTAGCTGCCCCTGCCAGGTCTGAGCCCCTGGACTGCTGCATGTCACCTCAGACTACTGTGCAGCCCTCACGACGGGACAATGCTGATCGATGGTGGAGCCCCGTTGGCCAGGGCAGTCTTTACAGCATCCCATTGGATCCCAGGCACCAGAAAGGTCATGGTGGCAGAAGTGGGAGGTGAGGAAGGGGTCAGGGCTCACCGAAGGTGTGTCCAGCTGCACCCATTCCAGCACAGCCTTCTGTCCCAGCAGCTCCCCGGGGCTGCAGCTCAGGATCGTCTGGCAGATGCCGACCACGTGGCTGCACTGGGAGAGGGTATCGGGCTGGCTTGCCTGGCCTCTCCGCCCCCCCGCCCCACACATATACCTGCACAGTGCCCCGGCCTGTATTGGGAGAGGGCAGTGGGCTGGCTTGCCTCTGCCCCTCCTCCTACCACCTCCCCACACCTGCACAATGCTTCCCCTCCCCCAATCACAGCAACTTACGATCCTCAGGACTCTGCTCTCCCGTTCAGCGGCTGCCGGACAGTCCTGGAAGCGAGTGTGACAGCAGGACCTCCCCTGAATCTCAGCGGCCAGGGTCCACCATTCCCACGGTCCTCCCCTGCTTCTCCCACCCTGGCCCCCCTGCTCAGAACTCTAGGGCTCCAAGTCTGAGGCCTCAGTGCGCTGACCCCTGGCCTGGTGGCCAAGCCACTCCTCTTTCTGCTTCTGCTGTCACAGTGCTCAACCTGGCTCCCCAATGATTCACCAAGTTATAAAAAGCACCAGCCTGATTTGGCGGCTGGGGTACTGGCCAACCTCGGCCCTGGCTCCCTTACCTCTTGCAAGGCCTGGCCCAGCTCTGCACATAGCGTCCCGATCTCCTGGCAGGCTGAGAAGTCGTTTAATTGGGAGAAGAGGTATCTGGAGTGGGGAGGAGGGCACAGTAGTTAGGAACTAGTTACTCATCTGAGGTTTGGGGTGCCCACCCTTGGGGGTTGGGCTGGCTATTCCACCTCTAGGGCTTAGCACAGGACCCAATTGTTACATGCCTCCTGCCTGCCAGGCCCCGTCCTAGGCACTGGGGTGACAGATATTGAACACACAACCACATCCCCAATGACTCAGCTGCAGCTGTGAATGCCAGGTGCTTGGAGAGGGCACAGCAGGGAAGGTGGAGGCAGTGCCTATGGGCCAGCTAAAGGGCCTATGGAGGCTCTGCATTTAATGCCCCTGGCAGCCCGGCACCCCTGCACCGCCTGTCCAGCCACTTCCAACAGTGGGAAGTATTCCCTCACCAACTACCCCTGCTGCCTACCTGTTGAGCCAGAAGAGGAGTGCCTGGGCCTCCCGGACTAGCTCTACGGCTGCGCTGAGGACATCGGCAGGGGTCTCAGTGCAGCTGCCCAGGCGGCCTCTGACCAGGCCCTGGAAGGCCTGGGTGCCCTCCAGCAGCTGCTGTGTGAGGCTCTGCAGGTTCTCACTCTGCAGCCCTGAGCTCTGGACCAGAAAGGGACACAGGTCACTTTCCCGAGCAGTAACCCGTCCCCTCTCGTACACCCAGGTGGGCTCACTCACCAGAGCCCGGAGCTGTTCCACCCCATCCAGGATGAGCTCCTGGTGGCCCAGGGGCCACACGGTCAGAGCCTCGAGGCTGCGCGGGCAGAGCTGCAGCAGGTACTTGCCAGGCAGCTGCCAGTCCTCAAAGGGGTAGTCCTGCAGGCAGTCATCGAGGCCTGCGGGACAGCAGGGGGAGGTGAGGGTTGGAGGGAGGCGGGGGAAGGCAGGGGGAGGTGAGGGTTGGAGGGAGGCGGGGAAGGCAGGGGGAGGTGAGGGTTGGAGGGAGGCGGGGGAAGGCAGGGGGAGGTGAGGGTTGGGCCTTCAGGTCGGGTTCTCCCCCCCAACAAAGTCCTTTTCTCTTCAATCTGACTCTGACAACAACTAGGAGATCCTGGCTGTGTTCTGCCCATTTCACAGATGGGACCAATGAGTTGAGGACAGCAGCCCTCAAGGGGGAGTCCCCAGAGCGGCAGCCCTACCAGGGGTGCTTGTTTGCTAAAGATATGAATTCTTGGGGCTCCCCCAACAGCTGTGGAGTGCAACTTTGGGTGGGGCTGTCTGTTATTGAACAGATCCTGCAGGGGATTTCAACACTGCCTGAGGCCCAAGAACCAGTGCCCAGAGGGCTACAAGCAAGCTGCTGTGGGGTCAGGAAGGCCGGAGCACCTGAAGAATCGTACAACTGCTCTGGGCCTCAGCCTCCTCACCTATGATATGGGAACAATGAAATACCTACCTTTATGTATGTGTGTGTTTAGACCATTGCATTGGATGATAATACATACTTCACTCACTGGGCCCCACCCCTGGCAGGAACAGCCACTGTGTTATTACGGCCTGTCCTATGATCAGGACACCTCCCAGCACTGCCCTCACACTCCATGCTTCAGATCCACAGCACTTCCTCCTGGCAGCCCCGGGAACACCCCTTGGCCTCCTCGCAGGTGCTGTGCCTTCCAGCTCCAACCTGCCCTTGGTCATTGAACTCCCTACTAGAAGTGCTGTGTGACTCTGTGGGCTGGGCCCGGGGCCTTCCTGTGCCCATGGGTCCCCTTAGGCCTCCACAAACCCCTGCTCCTCAGTGCTTCTTATTTCATCATGGGCTTTGCTAATCTGAGGTTTCTAAGCCCAGCCTGGACCTGGCCCAAAGAGGGGACACACACACACACACACAATAGGAACTGGCCCATTTTACTGATAGGAAGACTGACAGAAGTGGCAGTTACATCTCTCTCTGGAGGGATACGTGTGCGTGTGATTGATCACTCTTGCGCATTCTCTGTGCAGCAGGAACAGCACTGCCCTGAGAGTTCCTGCACCTATTCCCCAGGGCCCTTGAGCAGCTTCCTTTGCGTAGCTTGGGGCTGCCTTCCTCTCTACAGCCCCGCCTTGCCAGGTCTGTCCGGGTGGTGACCCCATTGCATAAGGTCAGAGTTGCCTCTCCCATTTCATGGACAGACAGACTGAGTCCTGTACTTAGACAGCTGGTGAGACAGTGGGACTGGGCCTGGAAGGGTCTTGGAGTTGGACCCCAGCTCTGAGTCTCTGCCCAGGGCAGCCCTGCTGCCCACAGCGACACAGGCTTAAGGCTCAGAAGCTTGAGGCTGGCAGCTCCCCGGCTGCTCCCCGCCTGACTGCAGTTGGCTGGTTTCCTGTCTGCCTGGACTGGGAGTGGCAGGTGTACTTGGGGGCAGAGAGGAGCTCCCCAGCTCCCCAGGGAGCACCCAAAGTGGGGCCTTTGAGCCTTTGCAGAGTGGCTGGTTTCTCAGCTTGGGGACAGGGGAGAAATGACCTCAAGATGTGCTCCACTCCAAGACTGAGCAAGTCACTTCCTGGCTGTATAGGTTAGTTTCGGCTCCAGAAAAATGGGTTTATGAACAACCCACAGGGCCCTGGGGCACCGGGCAGACAAAAGAGATACTGTAGGTGTGGGCCGCCCTGCCTTCTGGTTGCCAGCATGGCTGCCTCTTGGGGGGGGTCTTTGTGGGGCTCTCCGGGGTCACCTCGTCTGTCCCTCGTCCCCGCACAGCCCCCTGGTACAGGGCAGACTCTAGAAATACCTGTTGACTGCCAGTGCAGTCGCTTTTTCCTTCCGTTTTCCCCGTCCGTCAGCCGGGCCAACACCCCACCGCCCCCCAGTCCTCCGCTGTCCCGGTCTCACTTACCTCTCAGCCAAGCAGCCACCTGCTCGGGGGTCCAGGTCTCCACCGGCTCCATGATCAAGCTCCGCCTGCCCAAGCCGACGCCCGCCCGCCCGCTGGCCAGCACAGGAATTTCCGCTCCCCGAACCAGAGCCCGAGGGAGGGAAGGAGGGGAGGGGCCGGGCCGGACTAGGGCGGAACCGCGAACACCTGGGCCCACGTGGCCAGCCAGGTACGCCCTGCCGGCCCGCCTCCAGCCCGCCCTTTTGGGCATCCTCGGGCTTTGGCGGCTGGGCAGGGTGCCCAGGGACCCCGGGCTCCAGGACCACAAGGAAGCCTCAAACAGTACAACTGCGGCAAGGCGCTGGGGACCAAGGCTGTCCCTCACGGCTCCGCCTCCGTTTCCTGAGTCCTCAAAATGAATCGTTTGTGAATGATTCGCCGCTGAGGCCCACGGTGGGCCCTTTCTCAGCACAAGCAGCTCCTGGCTTCGGATCGGCTCAGCTTTGCCCACAGCGACCATTTCAGCAGTAAACCTGCAGATGAAATTTCTTTCTGTCTCTCCTCTCGGTACATCTGTCTTTCCAGTAAAAATAACTATTTTTTAAAGATTTATTTATTCTTATTGTAAAGTCAGATGAACAGAGAGGAGGAAAGAGAAAGGAAGATCTTCCCTCTGATGATTCACTCCCCAAGCAGCCTCAACGGCCAGAGCTGCACCAATCTGAAGCCAGGAGCCCAGAGCCTCTTCCTGGTCTCCCACGTGGGTGCAGGATTCCAAGGCTTTAGGCTGTCCTCAACTGACTTTCTGGGCCACAAGCAGTGAGCTGGATGAGAAGCGGGGCTGCCTGGATACAAACCAGCTCCCATATGGGATCCTGACAGTGCAAGGCGAGGACTTTAGCCACTAGGCTACCGCACTGAGCCTAATAATATATATATATTTTAAAAGATTTATATTATTTTTATTGGAAAGGTGGATATACAGAGAGGAGAGACAGAGAGGAAGATCTTCCATCCGATGATTCACTCCCCAAATGAGCACAATGGCCGATGCTATGCCGATCCGAAGCCAGGATCCAGGAACTTCTTCCTGGTATCCCACACGGGCACGGGGGTCCCAAGGCTTTGGGCCATCCTTGACTGCTTTCCCAGACCACAAGCAGGGAGCTGGATGGGAAGTGGAGCTGCTGGGATTAGAACCGGCGACCATATGGGATCCTGGGGCGTGCAAGGTGAGGACCTTAACCACTGTGTCATTGCGCCAGGCCCTTTTTTTTTTTTCTAATAATATTTTTTAAATGCACTTTTAAGCATAAAAGAAAAAGCTCAGGATCACAAGGGAAACAATTATCACCAAAACAGATTCAAAGACACAGATCTGTGACGTGTAAATGTTTAGTAGCAAGACTGGAAAATTAGGGCAGGAGTTGGGGTACAGCTGGTTAAAGCACACGTGGGGGACTCCTGCTTGCCACATGGGAGCACGGGTTTGGGTCCTGCCGCTCCACTTCCCACCTAGCTCCCTGCTGATGTGCCTGGGAGGCAGGGGATGCCTGGGCAGGTTACTCACACCAGAGGCCAGGATGGAACCTGGGCTGGTTGTTGAGGTATGTGGGGAGTGAAGCAGCTGATGGAAGGTCTTGTTCTGTCTCTCCATTTCTCTCCGCCAATGTGTCTTTCCACTTAAATAGATCTTTTTTTTTTTTTTAAGTTCTTTAAACAACCAGCAAATCAAAGTGAAATGCTTCTTCTGAGTCACAGCATGGCTGCCAAGCATGAATAAGAGCATGAGACTGGGCGGGGCGGCCTCCTCTCATTGGGCGAGGCGGGGCAGAGGAGGGTGGGCAAAGGGCAGGATGAAAAAAGAAAGGGGGAGCCCGGGTCGTGGTGAAGAGGTGCCCGTGGGGAGGGGGCGCCTGGGTCGAGGCGCCCGTGGGCAGGAAGCGCCCGTGGGGAGGGGGCGCCGGGTCGTGAGGCCGTAGAAGCACTCTGCCAACAGCTGTATCACAGGCAGGTCTGAAACCCAGAACCGTGATGGGGTCGTCCAGTGGTGGGTTAACAATGACCACATCTGTGAAATAGTTGTAAGCAAAAACATTTCAAGATGGCTGTAATACTACTAGCCTAATCTGAAAATAGTGGAAATTACAAAACCAGGCAGAATTCCTACTGAATCCAAATAGAAGAAATGGCGAAGTTTGATGAGAGGCTAGTGAGAATAAAGATGTAAATTTTTTTCCATCCATGCCCATGGATCTCTTGAATTTTGAACTCCTGGAAGAGCTTACACCTTAGAAAAATGTCTGAGCAGACTGAAGGCAGGTAAATGGAGATGCTGAAAACAAGGAAATGAATTCTGACTAGTCAGGGGGAGCAGTTGAGAGGCAGGACTAATGAATGCCCTTCAGCCAGCTATCTTGTATCTTCATGGGAATATTATTGCCTTAGGATTATTGTGTGGCACTTCTTTGTTGCTTAAACTGCAAAGCTGTGTTGTGTATGAACATAGTTACTTTGAGGGGAGGTTGGGAGGAGTAAGGTACTAAGAATTTTGATGCATGAGTATTGTAGTTTGGATGGTAGTGCAGTGTTCCAGAACCTTTTTTCAATCCATGCACCATTTAGTAAATATAAAAGTCACTTTTCTCCTAATGTTATTTGGAATTTCAAAATAAATATGTTGTCTAAAAACAAACAAACAAAATGTCTGAGGAGTGGCATCAGGTGGAGTGGGTTAAACCGCTGCCTGCAGTGCTGGTATCTCATATGGACACCAGTTCGAGTCCCAGCTGCTCTACTTCCGGTCTGGCTCCCTTGGGGAGTGAACCAATGGAGGGAAGACCTCTTTCTCTGTCTCTCCTCTCTCTATAAATCTGCCTTTCAAATAAAAAGTAAACCTTTAAAAAGTCTGATCCTGGGCTCGGCACAGTAGCCTAGCTGGTTCTAATCCAGCTCCCTGCTTATGGGCTGGGAAAGCAGTCAAGAACAGCACAAAGCCTTGGGATCCTTCACCTGTGTGGGAGACCCGGAAGAGGCTCTGGGCAACTGGCTTTGGATCAGGTTGCGGCCACTTGGGGAGTGAACCATCGGATGGAAGATCTTCCTCTATCTCTCTTCCTCTCTGTGTATCTGACTTTCCAATACAAATAAATAAATCTTTAAAAAAACCCCACAAAAGCAACAGGGCCATCATCATGGCAAAGTGAATAGAACTACCACCTGTGAAGCCAGCATCCCACATGGGTGCCAGTTCAAATCTCCACTTCCAATCTAGCTCCCTGCTAAGGCACCTGAGAAAACCCCTGGGCCCCCTGCATGCATGTGGGAGACCTGGATGAAATTCCTGGTTCCTGGTGTGGGCCTGCTACAGCTGTGGCTGTTGTGACCAACTGGGGAATGAGTCAGTATATGGAAGATCTATCTCTCCTCTCTGTAACTCAGCCTTTCAAATACATAATAAATCTTTTTAAACTAAACATAAGAAGGTTGTATTTAAAAAGTAAGTAAATAAATAATTCCACGTATTTGGTGTGAACATTTTCAAGGTATCAGTAGGTTAATATGCAGGATGGGCACTTCTGCTAGTACCTTGTGCTGCTTCCCAGCGGGAACCACGTCCATTTTCTGTCTTCTTCCTTTTGTCTCCATGTAGTCCATGGCCCATCTTGCAAATCGCACTTGCCTTTATCTTATGAGATAATCAGCATCATCAAGTGCTAGGGCAATGATGAGCATGGCCAGCTCTTCCTCCTCCTGTTTCAAGGATGTGTGGCAGCTTTACCAGCTCCACCATGACTCTGGCCCCGACTTCTATTTCTTGACAATTCATTGGCAGCTCATTGGGACACACAGCTTTCCTTTTATTACTGTCCCCACACTGAGGGTATGAAGTTCTTGCAGGAATTGTGGGTCTCAGAAAGGGATGACATGGGCCCTCCCCTAAGGCAGGAGTGGCTGATGTTAGGGGGACCCAAGGGACAAGGTGTATAGCGGTCAGGAAGCTGCCTTCCACCTCCTCTGCTGAATGCTAACTGGTGACATCCAATCGTCTATGGCAGAGATAGGCCTGGCCCAGGGCGGGGGACTTCCCAGCACGGCCAGCCCCGGCCCCTCCTGCCGGTGGGGAAGGCGCTGCCCAAGCCTGATGCTGATCTCTCCTGACAGATGCACCCAACGCTGGCAGGGCGGTGGGGGAAGGGACCAGATTAAAGGTCCAGCTGCTCCGCCTCTGCCCAGAGCCGGGCAGGAGAGCACCGGTGAGCATCTCAGGCGGGCACAGTTCTCGTGCTTGTGTGATGTCAGGGGGCCTCCGCCCTGCTTCCGTACTGCTTCGTACCGCCAACGGCACTGGTCTTCACATCCCCACCCCCCTACAGGCCTCCTGGGAAACCAGTAGCTCCCCCCACCATGCAATTCCGGCGCCTGACCCCTGGCTATTTCCGGGTACTACAGGTAAGTACCTCTAATGCTGGGATTTTACTACCACCCGCTCCTTCTTCCCCCTACCACGACTGGCCCGACAGCCTGCGCAGCCAGGGGCTGTCACGTTCCTGGCCGCCTGAGCAGTCAGGGCCCAGATAGGCAGTGAAGCGAGAGGAATGGGGTGTAACCTCCCCGGGGCAGCAGTGGATGGCCACAGCTCCTTCTCCCAACAACACCTTCCAGCCCTGCCCTGCCACACCCGTCCTAGAAATCTCAGCTGTGCCTTCAAACACCCCTCCGTGCACCCCCAGATGCAGGTGGCCGGGCAGCTGAAGGCAGAGCCGCGGAGTCCGCTGGCTGGGGTTGCGGCTGCACTGCTGGCTGTTCTTGGCCTGGGGGCTTCTTGCTACGCTGTCTGGAAGATGGTGGGGCAGCGACGGCGGCCTCCACAGGCCCCCTGAGGAAGTCAGCAGCCTCGCACCCAGGTACTAACTAGGGTAGGCGGCTGGGGGAGGGGGCTGTCATCTTAGGAGCCCACTTCTTTTCTGGAGATTTGGGGAGAAGCCGGTAGATCAAATCTGTTCCATCCATTCATACTGCTCTGCACCCAGGCACCAGCTTAGCTGCAAGTTCCAAAGCTCAGCGAATGAGGAGCAGAAACATGAGGCATCCAATGTGGGAACCAGTTAATAAATTCTTCTGGGGCATGGGTTTGAGGCTGCGGCCTGGAGAAGAGGCGAGTCCTCATTGTCCAACTCCTTTATTTGGGGGAGCATGTCCAGAGACCACTAGCTTTCCAAACCAGAACCGGAAGTGGCTGACACTCCCTCTCTCCACCGCCCAGCCCTTGAGTCATTTGTCCATGAGCAGGTCCTCTGTCTTGCGTTGGCAGAGTGGGTCAGGTACACGTGTCCATCTCCGGAACTTCGGTGGACACTTCTGCGGGTACCGCCAGCCTCTTGGGGGGCACGTAGGAGCCCATCCCTGCTGCCCTCTCCGCCTCCTCCTGGCTGTAGGGTTCCACGGTCAGCTGCTTCAGCCTGCGGGAAGCAACTCAGCAGGAGTTAAGAACTGCCCCAGACACCTGACCTGCCCGTCCTGCACTTACCCAGCAGCCCTGTTCTTACTGCTTCCTACCTTTTCTTGTGGTCTTTGGATCGGAAATGGGCCTTCAGGTTGGCAGAATCGATGAAGTACCGCCTGCAAGGTGAGGAGGTGATGCCTCTTGTCTACGCCCAACCCATCCCAAAGCGAGTTCATTTCTTGATGTCAGGTCCCGCAGCGGTCCCCAGGAAAAGAGACCCTGCGTGGCCCAAAGCCCGTACTTGCCACCCCCTCGGACCCTCCTCCTCCCCACGCCCGGCTCAGCCGGGACTCACGCGCAGGCCAGACAGCGATGCAGGCCGTCCCCGGGAAGGTCAGGGTCTGGCTCGGCGTCCGGGGGCATCTTGGCGCGCCCGGGCCCCTGCGGTCGCAGCTCGCGGTGTATCTCGTCCAGATCGGGCCGCCGCCGCTTGGCCTTCATCTGGCGTGCTAAGGAGTGCGCTCGGTGAGCGCCTGTCCGGCGGGAACGACCCATAGCCGGCGACAAGCCAGCAGAGTCAACAGAGTGAAGCCCACGTGCAGCACTTCCTGACCGCCGGGTGACGTCAGGAGCCGCCGCTGTCAGACCGCCTCTGATGACGTAACGGGCGCGACCGGCGGCTTTGGCGCCCTCGGGCGGCTGTCCGGCTCGCGGGCCGAGCCCTGGCGAAGCGCGGCGGCGGATTCTCACCCGGGGCTTGGGGTCCCATGTACCATCGCCGCGGAGTTTGGGGGGCGTCGGACGGGGCCTGCGGTTCTGCCAGCGTGACCCGACCTGTCTCAGCGCCGTTTCCCGGCCCTTCGATCCCAAACCTCGGACTATGCGGTGGTGGAGTGATGGGGGGGGGGCGATCTAAGCACTGAGAAATATCTGCGATATGAATAAATTGATGGCCGAATGAGAATGGACGAGACTGGGATCCTGGTTCCAATGGGGTTTCCCGAGATGCTAACATTCCCTGACAAAGCCGACTCCTCAGAGCTCCCAAGTTGTATTTCCTTGGGGTCCCCATCGTCCATCTCCCTATGTCGTGCCTCCACGTCAAATTCCTAGTGTTCCTCTCAGAGAGTGTGTAGACGTCCTGGGGTCTCACAGAAGGAACGCCACCTTTTCCTCCTTCCTCTCTTTACCTGGTAGTGGGCACCCATGGGTGGGACTACAGGGGCTGGCACGTATGGCAGTGGGTGAAGCTGAAGCCTGTGCGCCAAGCTTTCCTCACCGGCTGGGAGTCCTGGCTGCTCCGCCTCCCACCCAGCTCCCTGCTGATGGGAAAGTAGTGGAAGATGGTCCAAGGACCTGGGACCCCCACCCATGATGAGACCTGAATGGAGTTCTGACCTCCTACCTATGGACAGGACAGGACCATCAGCCCTGGCAATGAATCAGCAGATGGAAGATCTCTCTCTCTGCCTCCATCTACTCTGCCTTTTAAAATAAATAAGTAGGGGCTGGCACACGGCTCAGCTGGTTAATCCTCCAGCTACAAGCAGTTACAAGCATACCATGTGGTCGCGGTTCATGTCCAGCCTGCTGAGCTTCCCATCCAGCTCCCTGCTGGTGGCCTGGGAAAGTGGTAGAGGGTGGCATAAGTCTTGAGACGCTGAATCCGCAAGGGATACCTGGAAGAGGCTCCTGATTGGCTCAGCTCTGGCAGTTGTGGCCATTTGGGGAGTGAACCAGCAGATGGAAGATCTTTCTCATTGTCTCTCCTTCTCTTTGTAAATCTACCTTTCCAAATAAAAAAATCTGTAATTTAAAAAAAGTAAATAAGTAAATAATCTCTTTTTTTTTGTAAGAATAGGAATACAGTTAATCAGGATGTAACTGGGAACTGTATACTCGAAGTGGGAAGAGGGCTGGGCAGCCATTTCCCATTCCTGGGAGCCTGGTGCCTCCCAAGCCCACCAGAACCAACTCCCCTGGACTTGGCCATAGGAGGTCAGCAATTATTCAGGGGTTCCCGCTCCTTGGAACCTGTTGCCAGGAAACAGGAAGACGGGCACGTGCATCCCTAGGGAGAGGAATCAGTTTCCAGCCCAAACAAACCAGTGAAATGGAAGCCCAGGGGATGCCGACCTGGAGCCTGGGGACCTGCCCACTGCAGATCAGAGACACTGAGCTTAAAGGCCCAGGGTCTCCAGCCTGGGTCCCAGGCACAGGGACTTGGTGAATCGAAGAGGTTTTGTTTGAGACCCTTCCAAGAAGGTTGCAATCTCAAGTATTCCTAAACCCAAGAGACAGTTCTGTCTCTGGAGGGAGGTCTTCGTCATTCCTGGCCGATATGGGTCAAGGCAGGCTGAAGCAGCACAAGCTGCTCTGTCCTTCCCCCCACCCCCGATATCTTTGGATCAGGTTTGCCTGCTGGGCACTGTGCCAGCTGGGGAGGTTGGTACATCTTTAATGAAGTCACCTGATCATAGGGACAGGCTTTTGGCCTCACCAAGTTTCTGGAGCCAGATCCACCGGTGCCCCCTGAGCCAACGCCTTCCTGTGCCTGGGCACCAGGGCCCTGTCACCTGCAGCCATGAACCAGGCCTTCTGGAAAACCTACAAGTCCAAAGTGTTGCAGACTCTGAGTGGGGAGTCTGAGGAGGATCTGGCAGAAGAGGTGGGTGCCATCGGTGCTGAATGGGGGGAGGAGAAATATGGGAGAAGGAGAAAGGGGTGAGGGAAGATCCCCAAAAGATAGCACCTTTGTGCTGAAGCCAGGGGCCCAAAGAGGCGAGGCACAGTGAGCAGCCCAATGCAGGGCCAAGACAGTTCAGAGACCCGAGGAAGAAGGTAGTGGGAGAACTGGCCACTGTCCCCCAAAACCTCGCGGGCTGCCACTTGGGACAAATCCTTCTAGGACAAGTGGTTTCTGGCCATACAGGGGTACCTAGCATGACACTACATTTTCCTTTTTAAAAATGTATTTATTTATCTGAAAGAATTTCAGAGAGAGAGAGATACAGAAAACTTCCATCTGCTGGTTTACTCTCCAAATGGCTACAACAGCCAGAACTGACCCAAGCTGAAGTCAGCAGTCAGGTCTCCTACATGGATGACAGGGGCCCAAGTCCTTGGGGCCATCTTCTGCTGCTTTCCTGGGTGTATTATCAGGGAATTGGATCAAAAGTGGAGCAGCTGGGACTCAAGCTGGCACCTACATGGTTGTCACAGGGAGCAGTTTGGCCCAAGGCCATAATGGCCCTAGCATGACACAGACAGGGCCAAGCAGAAGTGGAATGGCTTGTCCAAGAGGTAGTGAGTTTCTATGACTGGAAACAGGGACATGTGGGATCTGAAGGTCACCATAGCAACATCAGGTCAAAGCCATGAACAGGTCATGCTTTACCCTGATTCTAAAAATCAAAAAGGACTTAGACCTGGAAACCACCTTATGTCTTGAGGCTGTGGCAAGTGGGAGCCATATAGGTAGTGTGGCAGGGGCAGGAACTAGGCCTGCGATGGGTGGAGTGTTGGGAAAAAGTTTTTCCAGACTGAGCTCATGTGGAATCCCCAGTGAAGGTGTACTCCAGTGTGCAGGTGAGCTAAGTCTGGTATTATAAGGTGTGTACATTTTGGGTAGATGTTTTACACCTGCGTGCCTCCAGCTATGTTTATAAGGGATATGTGTGTATGCACATGTTGTGTGTGTGTGTGTGTGTGTGTGTGTGTGTTGGAGAGGTGGAGAGATTTTTTGTCCGTGTGTGTGATCTGGCTGCTGTGCACAGCTATGTGAGTGCACAGGTGTGAATGGGTCATTCTATGTGTGACCTCATATGGATGCCTCACAGCACGTCCACCTTGGTACAGGCCAACAGCAGATGCCAGGGCTGTGTATGATCGCATCCCTGGAATTAGAGTGTGGATAGCTGTGTGGCTGACAGAGCTATCTGCAGGTGGGGCTGCACAGGCACATGTGAACTTAGTGGACCGGTAACTTAGTGGACAAATTTCCTGTGTATGCACCCATGTGCCCCGGCAGGGATGGGAAGAGGATGTACTGTTTAGCTCTGTGGGGTTTAGGGTGCTTGGTCTGTGTGTCCAGGGCTAGCAGCTGGAAGAGAGGGCCTGCTCCTTTGGGGCCTCTCTCATGCTGGGTGGGGGTCTTGTATCCCAGACGGGGAACCCAGCCTTAGCGGAGTCTGAAGTGGCACAGCCAAGTGAGGAGGCCTTCAACGCCGTGTCGCAGCTGGCCCGCCGGGTGAGCTTTCCCCCCTTCAGCCCTCACCCTGTGGAGCCTGATAGAGACACAAGGACACCCTGGGAGGTTTGGGGGGGGGCGGTCTTCCTGACTCCCAGCCTCTCCATCCTAGGTCCAGGATGCCCTGGGAGGTTGTGGGGGCTCTTTCTGACTCCCACTCCTCTGGCCTAGGTCCAGGGCGTAGGGGTGAAAGGCTGGCTGACCATGTCATCTCTGTTTAACAAAGAAGATGAAGACAAGCTGCTGCCACCAGAGCCCCCAGCTGACCAGTACGTGTGTGGGTGTGTCCTGGAGGGCTCCGGGAGGGGCCTGGGGTCTCTTTCTGCCCTGTCCTTTCCTTCCTTCCTGGCTGGCTCTTTATCCACTGATGGCTTGGAGCTCTGTCCCCACTTTTCCCCAGGAGAGAGAATTGCAGTAGAGGGTAGCTTGGTTCTAAGCTTCCCACATGCTAAGCCCTCCTACCCACCCCCACCCTCCACGGGGGGCCTGGGTGGAACTCCCAGAATTGCCTCAGTGGTCTGACCTGCTGCATGCCCAGGCCAGGATGCATCCAGCAAGGTCCCTAAAGAGCCGCTGGCACAACATGCTTGGGAACCAGGATTCTAGAAGGTCTTTGATGCAGAGGGGCCAAGGGGTCAGCTACGGCCTGGGGCTCCCTCCAACTCTGCCCCTTTGTCCAGCCACTCACACACTTGCCGTCCTCTGACCCCACTTCCTTTGCCCTAGGGACACCCTGACCTGACCTAGCCTTCTCTGCTCTGCCAGGGCTTCCCCCATTCTTCCCCACCCCCGACTCTGGCCTCAGTCACCCCTCCCTCAGCACCTCCAGTCTAACCCCCAGTCCACCTCACCCCCTCGCTCCCAGGCCTCCGATCCAGGCCTTTCTTCCTCCGTGTTAGTCCTGGACCCTAGCCCCGAGTTATGTCCACTCTAATGCATTCCTGGTATTCCCCCCACCCCGTCTCCCCGCCTCCCTGCTCCCCGACCTCTCTCCAGTGCCCCGGGACTCTCCTGGGGATCCTGAGCCTCATCCCGTGTCGCTGGGGGGTGGGAGGGGTGGCGGGGAGGGCTCACCTGACCCTGACCCCGGCCCATGCTGGGTCCTCCTGTGCCTCTGAGGTCACCAACCCTGCCCCTCTTTTCCTGCCGGGCACTGCCAGTCACCTGACTGTGCCCCGAGTCCCCGGGGCCCCATCCCGGGTCCCTTGCCGCCGCCTGCTGTGCGTTATCCCTCTGGGGGACCCCGGGCCAGCCCCCTGACGCGGCCCCTCTCGCGCAGCCCGCTGGCGGCGCAGCCCCCCTCGCAGGCGGCGGAGCCCCGCGGGCCGGGATTCTGGGACGCGTTCGCTAGCAGGTGGCAGCAGCAGCAGGCGGCCGCGGCGTCCATGCTGCGCGGCGCTGAGCCCGCCTCGGAGCCGGACCCAGACGCGGGGGACGAGACCGCGGAGGAAGCCGCCGAGCGCTCGGAGCCGCGGGACGCCGACCCTGCGGCCGGCTTCAAGTGGGGCTTCCTCACCCACAAACTGGCCGAGATGAGAGTGAAGGCCGCGCCCAAGAACGACTAGCAGCCCAGGCGACACCTCTCCCTTCCCAAGTGCCCATAAAAACTCCTGACCCCAAGCCCCGCGTGACCGCATACTTCTCTCCGGGCTGTTTTGGGGTGGGGGAGCTCGGGGTCCACCTGGTCGGTCCTCATTTACTCCTCTCACTACTTACACGACGGGACGGGACGAGTAGAGTGAACAGTGACAGACAGGGTGTCTGGATTTAAGGTAGTTTTCTAGGAAGCTGGGGAAGCCCCGAGAATAGTCTATCCAGCCTGACTGAATTCCACAAACATTGCTTGGGACTGTATTGTGTGCACAGATCTTGTGCTAGGCACAGGTCAGACGACAGGTGGCCCCACCCTGGGGGACAAATTAAGGCACACAATTATGGGGCAGCCGCGCGTGGGCGCGTCAGGCGGGTTGGAGAGCAGAGGGGAGTATGAACCATCTTGGAAGGACAGGTGGCGAGATATGGGGCGGTGAGAACAAAGGCTTGGAGGGGCGAACGCGTACGGGGAAACAGGAGACCCGGGTGTTCCCCGGGAAAAGAGACTTGGAGGCACGACGTGGGGCGGAGGGTTCTTCATCTCTCAGCCTTTTATACCCAGGGACCAGAAGGAGGCAGCAAAGTCCCGGGAATGGCGGTCACTTGGGGAGGGTCCAGGGATCCCCAGTATTCTGAAGCCCACCCCTCCCCAGGGCTCCGTAAACGTGCTCTGCCCAGCAGCTGTAGTTTGGATCACATTGGAGGTCGGTGGTCGCAGCTCAGCGTTCGTATCGAGCGCCTTCTGTGTGCAGGTGCTTGGCCTCGTGCATGGCAACGAGCAGCCCCTTGCCTCCTTCCCTCTCGGAGGGACGCGGCTTCGACCCGAATCCAGCCTGGAGCCCGCGGAACCTGCTCGCCCGCCAATCCAGCTCACAACCCCCTGAAATCACGTATTCCCTTTATTCAGTAGGTTGGCTCATCTCCCACCCCAGGAGTCAACCAGATCCCCCCCAATCCCCGCTCCCGCGGTCCCCTAAACCCTGACCCGGGCTCTCCAAAGGGGCGCGCGGTCGCTCCTTCTGCTGCCGTTTGCGCTGGGAGGGACTCTCCACGTCCTGCGGGTTCGTCTCCCCAAGGTTCGGCTGCTGGGGACGCTGAGGTCCGGGGGAAGCCCGGACTCCCGAGAGCCGGCTCCCGGGCGTGAGGCCCGCCCTCACACCTCCGACTCGCGCGGCGACGGCGGCGAGCTACGAGCGCGCTGGCAGCCATACAACCACTGGATGACGCGCGCGTTGCGCTCCACTACCGACACGGCGGGCCGCTCGTCCCGCGTCGAGCCCGCTGCCTCCGAGCCGCCGCCGCCCGCACCGTCCGGTCTGTCGACATCGCCGTCGCTGGACGTCCAGTCGCTGTCGTCCCCGGAGCCGGGCGCCAGAGCAGTTCCGGACTGGGGGCCCGCATCGGCGCCCCAACTCTGCGGGGAGAAACGCTCGGCTCCGAGCACCTCCACCAGCGCGCGCTCCAGGCCACAGTAGTTGAAGAATCGCTCCTTCTCCGACAGCGGCAGTGAGCACGTGGGACACAGCGGCCGCTTGGTTGCCGCTTCCGGGGCGACTGGGGGCGCGGCCCACCCCCCAGCCGCTGCGGGACGCTCTGCTGCTGGGCCCGGGCTGCCGGGGGCAGTGTCCCGGGTGGCGCCCAGGAAGAGGCGGCGCACCAGCCCCTGACCCTTGGCGTTCTCTTTGTTCACCGAAGCCTTGCAGTCCCGCTTCTGGCGGTAGAAGACCAGGGAGTCGGGCCTTGGTAGCCGCCTGCCACTGCCCCGACGGGCGGCTCTGGGCGTTCTGGGCGAACCTGGAGGCCCTAGCTCGTTGCAGGCGTGCGGTGTGAGTGGCCCAGGGCTTCCGCGCAGGGCTGGCTCCTGGCGTCGTGCTATCACCTGGTGCGTCTTCACATACTTAGCTTTGTCGGCCTCCAGTCTTTCCACGGCACTCGGGGTCCGTGTTCTGGAGGCGGCGGAGGGAGGAGTCAGTAGCATCTTAGCAGAGCGGGCCAGGTGCGTGCCCCATCAGCTGCTGATGGTCCCTGGCTGGCCCAAGAGAGATCCGAGGGGCGGCGTCCTGGCTCCTGTAAGGCGAGAGGGCACAGGAAATGAGAGGTCCCTGCCCCTCTGCGACAGGCATCCCTGGGTGTGGAGCCAGCCGGCTACCCCTTCCCCATCATTCAGAGTCCTTAGATGAGGGCTCTTAGGTCACCAGAAAACGTATGCCCCTGCGAGGATGCCCTGGTCTGACCACGGACGCGCAAGCAGGCACCAGCAAGCAGGACGCTTGGAAAGGAAATAGGGCTGGTCCCGGCCCTATTCCCAAAAGCGACCTTAACCGGAAAAAATACCTCTTCCAATCCAGCAGTTCTGAGCCCAAGACAAGGAGGCTCCGCAGCCACAGGCGGGTCCCGCCCTTCCCCCTTCTCCCCTCCGGGTCAGGGACATAACCATCGGGTAGGAACCTCCAGTGATTGCAGCTCAGGGCCCTGCCCAGCGCAGCAGGGCCATCCAGGAAGGGGAGGGGCGGGAGGGACTGGCAGGTCCCGGCAGCCACGCGCTGCTCCTGCCAAGGGGGTCCCAGAAAACTGCACTAGGATGACCGCTTCGGCCAACCCTGTGCTTCCGTTTCCTGGATCCAGGAGGAAGAGGCTGGCCTGAGCCCTCTGGAGAGGTCGTGCTGGGCCTGGAACCCCGGTCTCAGGCCAAACCAGTCCAGGTGGGCTCTCATTTGCCTATCAGGACCTCCGTCTGGCCTTTTGCTTTCATTCCTCCGGCTATAAAACCAAGCGGTTTCCATTAGAGCTGATCCCACCAGTTCTTCTCATTATCTTGCCCTGGGCACTCTGTCCCCTTCTCATCCCAAGACCTATGACCCCTCTCGTCTGTGTCCCCTGGGCTGGGGAAAGGGGTGAAGAGAGGTCATAAATCAAGAGGTGACAGGTCCCGGGCCACCCACCTGGCTCAGCGCAGCCCCCATTCAGCTGAGAAGGACAGAGCAGTGTGTGTGGGGGGGTGGTGAGGGGACTTTGGGTCTGGGGATTAGCCAGGGATTGGGGGTGGGGCGGGGCTGGGAGGTCTTAGGGCAGAGACGCCCCCTCCTCCCTGCTCCCAGTGTGCAGAGGTGGCTGGCGACCAGGCCACTGGACACAAGGAGAGTCCAGCAGTGCCCCCTCCCTTCTCCCAGGGGCCCACTGGACAGAGGGTCGGCGTCTGAGGTCCTAGGAGGGCACTATCTGACCTCCAGGGTACCCTCTCCCCTATTGCCCTTCCCTGCCCTGAGCAGCAAGGCTATAAAAAGTCCCTAAACACAAGGACCAAAATAGTCCCGCCGTCCACCGCCTGTCCCTTGCCTTCTGGGCTGGCTGACCACAGGCGTCCCCACCCCCAGAGCCTGGCGGCTGTCCTCTTGCTCATCTCCCAGGGGCTAGAGTTGGCCCAAGGAGGACCTGGGCTTGGCACCAGCCCCCACTGCTTACCTGTGCCCCGTGGCAGGCACCAGTGGCAGGGGAAGGCGGGGCTGAACTATGGAGATCCACAGGCAGGTCCACACTGAAGACAGGAGGGACAGCAGTGACCAGAAGTAACTTTGGTGGCCGCCAAACCTCACTCTCCACAGGAAAAGCTGAGAGAAAGCCTCCATCCGCCCCCCCCCATTAACCCTTGCCTTCCTGAGCTGGAGCCCAGCCTCTGTTAACTCCTTCCTGGTCGCCGCCTCCAGCTGCAGGTCCTCTCCTTGATGCTGATTTGCACACTGGAAGTGGGAGAGGGACAGAAGCCCAAGCAAGTCATCTCTGCATCCGCAGACTTGTTCCTCCCCAGGTTTGAGCTGGGGCCGCTGCGCTTATGGGGCCAGACAAGGCTCTAGTCTGCTTCCTTTGTTGCTTATGTGACAGGCTGGGACCTGTGCTGGTGTGGGCGACTCTCTAGGGCTGGGGCCAGGATGTAGCTGGAGAGAGGGGACAGCCAACAGCAGATGTGCCAGTGTCCCTATTGCTGGCCTGGAAGGTCCCCTGGGGACTCACTGGAGATGTCCTTGCCGATGTCCTCTTCTCGGCCAGGAAGAGGGTGATGGGGGGTGATTCTGGGGCCCAGCCTGGGTCCCTCTGCCCTCGTGCTCCTCTGTCCCTACTTGGGGACTCCTGACCCTTCCCAAGATGAAGCGTGCCTCCCCCTACTTCTCCTGTCCCCTTCCCCCCTTGCCACCCGGAGGGAGTCACTGCAGCCCCACAGAATTCAAACAGCAGGGTCCTAGCCGAGGGTCCCTGCCGCCTTCTCCCCACCCCCACTCAGCTGCCAGCTCTCCACCAGCCCTTCTTCCTGCCTTCTAGCACCTTGGATATTTGCAGAGCAAGTTCACACCTGTACTCTTGAATAATTGACACCCCACCCCCACCTCGGAGGGGGAGTGACCAGGCCGCTAAGCCAGTGGGCAGAACCCAGCTCCCGCTCAGCTCTGCCAGCAGGTGTGCCAAGGAGTGTGAGACTCCAAGGCCCATCCAGACTGCAGCTGGCGGCGAGGCAGGCTGGGGGCCGGGTGCTGTTCAGATCTGGGTGCTTGCCTGTGACCACACTTTATCAGGAAGAGTCCTGCTCCAGGGGGTGGATTCTAGTATTCTCCCCTCCCCATTTACAGCGGAAGAACCTGAGGCTCAGGAGGGGAGAGTGGAAATGACTGCGCCAAGCTCATTCACAATAATGAACTTTCCCTGAGAGATCAGTAAATGCCAGGGCTGAGCCAGGGAGTAGACTGGTCAGGAAGGGGTTAAGCAGAGGGAGGCTGGGTAGGGCCCAGCTGGGCTGCTGTCAATGGCAGGAAACCTGGCAGGCCTGGAGTGGGGGGGAGCGGGGAGGATGGGGCTGTCTGCATTGATATAACCCCCATCCCTTTGTCTTTAAAGAGACATCCGGATAGGTTGGGGGGCAGGCAGGCAGCTCCCCCCCCCCCCACCCCTCCCAGAGCCCTGTTGGAGGTGGTAGGGCCAGAGGTCAGACTCGGAACTCAGAACAGAGTCCCAGTTCTGCCCCCTGACCATAGGGCTCAGTCCGGAGGGGGCTGCTCTGGGAGCCCAGCTCTGCTTGCATGACACTGGGGATCAGGGCCTGGGACTCCAGGGAAGGCTACTGTATCTTGCTCACACAAGTTCCTGCCTGAGAGGTGACAGTGCCCGTGGGAGGCACAGTCCCTGGGCCATCCAGGCAGGTCAGGCTTTGTCAGGGGTGGAAGAGCCAGTGGAGGGCAGGGGCTCAGCGACCTGGCCAAGCCTGGGCCAACCTCATGGCAGCCATCGTGGCTCCCTGCCCGAGCCACAGCCTTTCTCTTTCTGATCTCAGCTCCCATCCCTGGGGATAGCCTTCAAGTGGTTCTTTCCGACTGCAGCGCCAGGACCTCAGGCCAGGGGCCAGTGTGTCTCAGCGATGCAGTTCCTTCCTCTTTCCAGACACATTCCCGGATCTCAAGGAGAGTAGATCAGGAATGGGTCTGAGTCAGACCCCGTGGGGAGCACAGGGAAGTGGCTCTGGGCTCTGGGTAGTGTAAGGAATGAGGACTGGGGGATGGGGTGTCCCCTCCTCCCACACAGAGTATCCAACAACCATCCACGCCTCAGCCCTGCCTTTGAGGCCAATCAACTCTGTGAGCCCTGCTGTGTGTCCTCCGGCAAGAACAAAACCTCTCTGAGTTTCCTTCCCTGTGAAATGCGAATGAGGAGGCCACTAAGAAAGGGAGCTCAGAGGGTGCCTGGCTTCTGGGGTCCTCAGGGCATGGAGAGGTGTCCCACCCTCCAGCCTTCCCCCAGCACCTTCCCCATCCCTCTGACCTGCACCTCCTTGGTTCTCAGCCCCTCAGCTATTACTAACAAATCATGCAGACACCTGCACCAAGCCAGGCTCCGGTGGCAGATGGGTAAGGCGCTCAGCCTCCTGGGGGAGGCAGGCGGCAGGCTTCAAAGAGCCAGGGCTCTGAGCTGGGCCTGGAGGGTGTTTCTGGCTGGGCTGTGCATGAAAGAGAGTGGTGGGGGGCAAGACAGCCACAGCTGGGGGCTCTGTGAGGCCAAGAGGTCAGGGAAGGGCTTGCCAAGGGGAAGGGGTGGGAGGTGGCTCAGCTGGGGATAAAGAGAAGATGGGGTGGAGACAAGGACAACAGGCTGGGGTCTGCTTTAGGAGAGAGAAGGTGCAAGTCCCTGGCTGGGCTGACTTAGGGCATCTGATCACACACAGCAATGGACCGCCCAACCCAGGGGGCGTGGCCCTGGGCAGAGCCCAGCACCCAGTGCTTGCACCACGGGAGCCAGCATGAGGAATGTGCCAGTCATCTGGGGCATTTTTTCTAAGCATCTACATGGTGTTCGGGAAGAACAAAAGGCAGGTTTCCTCGTCTGGCTTTGTGGCCCAGGGTCTGAACCACACACTGTATTTGCCAGGTGCTTGGTGCTTTAAAAAGCACGATACCTCCTTACTCACTTCTTTTTAATTTAAAGATTTATTTATTTTTGTTGGAAAGTAAAATTTACAGAGACAAAGATCTTCCATCTGCTGGTTCACTCCCCAAGTGGCCTCAACAGCTGGAGCTGAGCTGATCTGAAGTCAGGAGCCAGGATCTCCCATGCAGATGCAGGGTCCCAAGGTTTTAGGCTGTTCTTTACTACTTTTCCAAGCCACAGGCCGAGAACTGGATGCGAAGTGGAGCAGCCGAGACATGAACCAGTGCTGATATGGGATCCGAGTTTGTGCAAGGAGTGGATTTAGCCACTAGGCTACCACACCAGGCCCCATCACTCACATTTTTTTAAAGTTTATTATTATTGTTATTGTAAATACAGATACACAAAGAGAAGGAGATATATAAAGATCTTCCATCTGCTGGTTCATTTCCCAAGTGGCTGCAACAGCAGGAGCTGAGCTGATCCGATCCAAAGCAAGGAGCCAGGAGCTTCTTCCAGATCTCCCACATGGGTGCAGGGTCTTAAGGCTTTGGGTAATATCTACTGCTTTCCCAGACCAAAAGTAAGGAGCTGGAT